GGCCAAAGCCAGGAAGCAGGAGCCACATCCAGGTCTCCTACATGGGCCATCCTCTCATTAGCAGGGAGGGAGCCGAATCAGAAGCAGAGCAGCATGTAGGATGCGGGCATCTCTGTATTGAGATTTCTAAGTGTTGCTTTTAAAAGCTTGAGAGTGGGGCTGGCGCAGTGGGTTAAGCCACCGCCTGCAATGCCAGCTCAAGTCCTGGCTGCTCCACTTCTGATGAAGTCCCAGCTACTCTACTGCTAATGCACCTGGGAAAGCAGCAGAAGATGACCCAAGACCTTGGGTCCCTGCCACTCATGTTGGAGACACAGAGAAGGTTCCAGGCTCCTGGCTTTGGCATGTCCTGGCCTAGTTCTGGTGTTGTGACCATCTGAGGAGTGAACCAGCAGAGGGAAGATCTATTTCTATCTCCCCTTTTCTCTAACTCTGCCTTTCAAATAAATAAAGACATCTTGAAAGAAGGAAGGAAAGGAAAGGAAAGGAAAGGAAAGGAAAGGAAAGGAAAGGAAAGGAAAGGAAAGGAAAGGAAAGGAAAGGAAAGGAAAGGAAAGACAAAAACTTTGGGAATGAGGTTCCAAATATTCAGCTGCGATGTGTGTACCACTGATGCCATGTGGGAGATGTCATGAGATCTGGTGGACTCTCAGGGGAGGGATTGTGTCCCCCACCCACATCCATGTGTTGAAGGTCTTGGGGGCATAGTAGGTTAAGCCTCTGCCTGAGGCACTGGCCTCCCGTTTGGACACCTGTTTGAGTCCCAGCTGCTCCCAGTGAATGACCTGGGAAATCAGTGGAAGATGGCCCAAGGGCTTGGGTTCCTGCATCCATGATGGAGACCCGGAAGAAGCTCCTGGCTCCTGGCTTTGGATCAGTCTAGCTCCTGCCATTGCAGCCATTTGTAGAGTAAACCAGTGGATGAAAGACTATTTTAGGCCAGCAGGTGCCGCAGCTCACTAGGCTAATCCTCCGCCTTGCGGCGCCGGCACCCAGGGTTCTAGTCCCAGTCGGGGCACCGGATTCTGTCCTGGTTGCTCCTCTTCCAGTCCAGCTCTTTGCTGTGGCCCGGGAGTGCAGTAGAGGATGGCCCAAGTGCTTGGGCCCTGCACCTGCATGGGAGACCAGGAGAAGCACCTGGCTCCT